ATTCCTGTCCTCAATTGCTTTATCATAAAGTCCCAAATCAGGGGAATAACTATTCATTTACTTATGCGTGGTGAAAGAAGCAGTCAGCTCTGTCTTAGTTTGTGAAGAAATTAATAAATAATTTATCATCTATTACGTAAGTTCTGCATGGAGCCAAGCTGAGATACACAATCATGGATAACTTGTGTTGATGCTCTTTGTTTCAGTAAGGAAACTGCGTCTTTGCTTTCAAGCTCACACCATAAACGTAATTACCGACAATTCACCCAAATCGGTGTTATCATAACCCGACCACTTGTGAAGTTTGTTGAAGTGGTCAATTGAATTGAGTGAATTCAACATTTCATATGACACATGATAGCGATCAAAGCCCGAGTAATCGCCGACTTCTTAGCTGATTTCACACAAGACTTGAATCGTGATGACACCAGTATCATGGATGAACTCTGGGTATTTTGCTTTGATGAAGTATCAAGAAATCAAAGGAAACGAGTAGGTATGGTCTTACCTCAAAGACTCATATTCTATCATTCTATTTAGCTCAACTTCAACACCACTAACAATCAAGTTGAATACAAGGTATTGATTGTTGGGTTGAGATTTTCATGAGCAATCGATGTGAGACATCTCATTGTCAAGTCAGACTCTCAGCTGGCGGTTAATCAAGTACATGAAATACTTGAAGTACGGGATGATACCTTACACAAATATCTAGCGAAGGCCAAATCTTAGATTGGAAAGTTTGAATAATTTCGGATCGAGAACATTTTAAGAAAAGAGAACCAATTTGCCGACCTCCTCTCTAAAGGCGAACATTTAGAACACAAATGGGACATGATGCTGGAACAACCTACCATCGAAAAACCTGAAGTTTCAAACATAGAGCCAAGGTGTGGTGCAAGTTGGTCAACCCCATAAAGGAATACTTGACTACATGTGTAATCCCAACGGGAGTTACAAATCCTTGAAATTTCAAACATAAAGTTGCGCATTACCTAATTATTGATGACTTTTATTTTATAACACCTTCATGGAGGAGTTTACCGATGGTTGATATGGGTGTAACCACCGAGCCTGCTTTATTTCCCATGCTTCCTCGATGATGGGGATACTTGGGGGGAACTATGGGATCGGGTCGTTGATCAACATTTATCTTTGCAACAAAATATTGAAAGATAACATTAGATTAGACAAAGTAAAAGTGCTCTAGAAAGCGTAAGAAACAAATATCTACTTACTAGAACTAAGGTTTGGGAGCGTCACTATGTTGGAGCCTCTCCAATCGTTCGAAAGGTCAGAAACCTATCCCTTGGGGGTAGCCTTCAAATCAGCCATTATTACCTCACTAGGAGTAGGATCCTATGCAGGCAGTGCAGACATTTCTTCTAGGGCCGCTTCGTTCAGATTGGTGCGAGAACTAGAGTTGAAGCACTTCTTGCTGGGCGTTTGTACAATTTTCTCGCCTCAACGGGCTTTGTCCTCTCAGCCTCTTTGCCTTCCCCCTTGAGTTTTGGACATTTTTAGAACATCGTTCCCTCTTTTGCTTTTGCTCAATGATCACCCTCTACCGATCCTCCAAAATGTCCATTTCTTCCTTGGAGATCTTCCCCATCAGAGCAAATATTGGAGAAACAATTAATTCCTTATGAAAACTAATGAATGCAGAGTGTGAGCTCTAACTTATGACCCCAACAAAGACTTATATATATCACAAAGGGAGTTAACTCAAAAAATCAATTTTTTATATATAATCACTAAAATTAATTTTATTGTTAGCAACAATCTAATTTTATTTTTTTAATAGAGTAATGACTTATTAACAAGTGATAAAAGTATCCACGTGGCTCTCATCTCTTATGGTATGACAATTATTCTTTGACAAAGGGAACATATCTAAATCATCCCATTTTTTATGACAGGAAAGTTTCGAATTCTTTCATAATACGTCCCATCATCTTCTTGGAGCATAGTTTTCCCGACAACTGTAATAACTCATATTCTTCATTCCTCATTTAGTAGTGTATGTCCTTGCGCAGGACAACTCGACAAGAAAAAGCTATTTTACATCCCATGCCGGTTATCACATCAGACTTGATCACTTCCGCCACCTAAGAAGCTGTTGCCACCAAACTAGAGACAATTCACATCTGCTCAGAAGCGCTTGTGACCACTCCCTGTAGGTGTAGCAATATGGTCCCCAGAGGAAGGAAAGTCTGTGCCTAGCAACAAGTACTTGCAACTGTTCTCCAAGATTGAGCTAGCGAAGCTTGATAGTGGTGGAAAATCATTGTCTGGTTGAATATGATTTAACTTCTTGTTGAGCCCTGAACGGGCAAGGTTCTTGCTTTAACTCTTTCACTCTAGCAACTCATAGTGGCGATCAATTTTCTTTTGATTCTCTCATTCTTCTCGCAGTTTCCCGTCAAAGAGCTAGGAGAACCAGAGAACTAAATGTACATCAAACAATAGATTTTCAAAACAACAGGACAACCCACGCTTTATGTGGGCCTTCTGGGCTTAGGGGATCGAGCTCATACACCATGCATTTGGAGCACTGACATTGAACGGACCGGTCGTACATGTTGGTCATACTCTTGGAGGTGACAATACCAAGCTTGCCTCTCAGAATGACTTGGTGGTCTCCCCTGCCAAGCATGTTACTGTTTATATGAGTTTCTTCGACTGAAATTATCGATACTTTTTATTCATGCAAGCTTCTCCAATCAAGTTCACCCATGCTTCTTGAGCTTTTGTATCGAGCTTGCCCACGCCCAACGAGCTCCTCGACTGAGCTCGCCTGCATCCATCAAGTTACGTCAACAAGTTTGTTGAACAGTTCTTCATGATAGAAGGAAGTAAAACTTCATCCCATCATCTTCCATGTCTATTTATTGACCGCTTGATGTCCATGCCTGGGAACTTATCAATGGCGAGTCTTAACAGGCTTCATACAACACATCCTACAACATAACATTTGTTTATTATTTATAGTATTATGAGGGAATGTAAATTTAAGGAGATATATAGGAAGAAAAGAATGGAAGGTCTTCTCTCTCCTCTCTTCTTTCTCACCATGATCAATAACAATGCACACACTCTAAAATCTTTGATTCCCTTCTACCTCTTTAATAAGGTCTCTCCAAGATTGTATGAGTCCACAGACAATTCGACACCCTACGTCCTAAAAGGATTCAATGTTATAAAAGAACTGATATAATTTATTTTCTATCTATAAACCTATTTTTCTTTTTTACTTTCATTGCTATTACTGCCTTCTACCATAGGAAAATAATTTTTACGCATGAGGTGACGTGAGCATGAGATTTAGCATCTTTAGGTTGGTCTAACTGGAAATTATGTGTGTTTATTTATTTTTTATTTCTTGGGTTTTGTTAGTAGGTGGGGGGAGTAATGAGGGGGTAGGGGAAGAGTTTGCATGTCTTTTCCAATTTGGATTGGGTGCTAATGCTCACTACATTATTTTGGAGCTATATGCTCAAGGAAATATCATTTTAACAGACTCCGAGTTTACAGTCATGACACTTCTACGATCACATAGGTTTGTTGCTATAGTCGCTGTTTAACTGCCATCTAAATTGATTTTTATTTTTTATTTTGCTACAAGATTTTCTTATATGTCTATGCTTATGCTATGAACTTAGAAGATATCGAATTATAGGATTTCTTTCCTGTTGATTTATAGTGGGCACTGGATTTTGCTGATTTATGATGGGAACTGGATTTTGATTTTTATCTTAGATTTATCAAGATGAATGTGTTTTAATTTGTCAGTTGAAAGCTTACTGGTAACGTCTTTTTTAACATCTTCCTTAAAATCATGATTCATATTAGTTAGTTATTTGTTGAATCTTATTATAACTTATATGGTTGTATATTTGAATAACTTATCAGCTTATGGTGGACTCTAGTGCATTAAAAGTATTTTGCTTATTTAGTATGTAGATAATTGAGTAGGAGAATTATGTTCTTTCTCATGCTCTTTCGAGCACCCTAAATTAAATGGTGGATAGGAAGTTTGTAATTTCATATTTATCTCCTAGTTTACATTCTTTATGCCTTTCAAATTACATCATATTAACTTACAATTTCATTCCAAATTAGGAAGTAACATAAGAGAAATAAATGAAGCAAATAATCATGCAAATTAATCAACGTTTTGGTAAATGCTTGATTTTCTAATTTTATATTTTTTATAGTGGTGTAATATTTCTTATGATGATTTCTTAGAAAACATGTTCTCTAATGTTCAAACACTTGTTCCGTCAGGCATGCTTCAGCTTTTGGTTGCCTAATTAAGCGCCTAACATTCATCTTAAAGCAATGAATTGAAGTCCTATAACAAAATACAATTAAACGCCGTATAATTATTTTGGCCGCTACTTGTTGTAGTTTGCTTGCTTGGCATTCTAATAATGGGTTCAATTGGTTGCGGTTGACAACGTCTGTGTAGTGTGCTATATCCAAAAATATCACCATTGTTCCCGAGGGCCTAGGCGATTCATGTGTGTCTTATTTAGGATTTGATAATAATTATTTTTTTTTGGCCTCCTTTTAATAGTTTCTAGAGGCAATTCAATTTGTAGTGACTATGATGATACTAATGTTGAGCACTAGATTAGCTTGTTAGTTTGAGCTTTGTTTATTTTAAAATGGGCTCAAGTGAAGAATTCATAAAGACTAGAATGCAAAGAAAGAGCACCTAGCCTAGTATTTAAGTGTAGTTGTAGATAAATGCAAATTGATCGAGTTAGATTCTACTGATGTTATAAGGATGATGAACTAATTGAAGTCAATATAATTTTTGGCAAAATTTACTTTAAAATACATTCACAAGTTTTAAAACTATTTGAGAATTTTCTATGTTTTTTAGGAAATTATTTAAATTGATTTTTTTTTACTTTTATCATTTAATAAGAGAAATTTGAATTTTATCTCGCTTCGTGCCCACTTTCGCATGATTTCCCTCTTATTTAAAGAAAATATTGGGAATGTATCACTCAAATTCTTCTTTGAACAGAAATCTCCCAATTGACGGATAACTATATTTCCCAAATTGATACATAAAGAAATCTATTTGAACTAATTTGAATTGGAACAATTTCAAAATTGATTTGAACAAATTCAAACCTAGTTCAGGCCTAAGGTGTGAACTCTTGATCTTGAGGTCAAGCCAATCCATCGACGTGAACACAATCTTGGAGAAAGAGCATCATGACATATTTACGTGTGGACATAAAGAGAATGACGTAGTCCTCAACATTGAGGTTGTAGCATTATTGCAAAAGATCATGTCTAAATTTCAAGAATGTAGAAGAAGCTTCTCAAAAATGAGGATTTATACGTCAAAATTTTGAGAAGTTTCAAGCCAAGTGTACTCGAGGTCAAGATATTTGTTGCCAAGCGAGGGGTTAAGCTATAGTGGCATTCGAGCATGGAATATTGAGGATCTCACTTGGTAACGATGCATAAAGTTCGAGCAAGACTTAAAGTTCAAACAAAATTTAGGCAAGGCAAGAAACCACTTGTGATTGTGCTCAATTTGGTGAAGGGAAGACAAATGATTCCAAAAACAAGAGCTGTAATAGTTTTGCCCGAAAATGCTTGATTGAGTTCTAAAACATCCTCACACAAATTGTTATGGATCAAAATATGTAGGATATGATTAGCCATCTCAATAGGCATCATAGTTAGTATGTTGATTGCGACATGTGAAGAAGCATAATCTTGAGAGGGCGATGTAGGAGTGTCTCCCGCTTCTTGATGAAGCGGAACGTGAGATTTCCCACAACTATATGCGGCACCCGGGTTTGCACGTGCAGGGCAGAGCCCAACCTAGCGGCCTCTCTTCTAATTTCTTTCCAATTTTAAGCACATTTACTTTTATTTATCTTATTTTTTCTAGTCCTTTCCTATATATATGTGTATTAGGATTTGAATTTTAAATTTTTGTGTGTTTACCCGAATAACTGTACACTTCTCCGTTTTTTCCTTCAATTGTTGTATCTGAGAGTTTTGAGTCATTTTTCGGCTATATCTCGCTTTTGAGTGGTGATTTTTTTCCCTGTCCCCTACCGCATCCTCTCACGTCGCTCCCGATCGTTTGCCATTGCTGCAATCACTCTGAACATCAACCCACTGCTGTTTTCATTTCAGTTTTTCAATTCCAGTCGTCTGTCCTTGTTGCTGCTGCTGCGTCGGACAGCTGCCCTCTTGCTGTTCTGCAGTACCTCATATCCTCTGTTGCTGCTGCCATCATTCTCTCTTGTTGCCGCCACCCGGAACAACGCCTATTTGCTGTTCACCTGTAGTTCCAAGGGTCCAACCACCTGTTTCACTCATTCCAACTTGCTGCCATTGCCACAACTTCTCTTTGTAGCCACCGTCCTTCTCCCTTGCCACCGCAGCTAATAACAACCCCCAACAACTTCCCCGTTGTCCAACCCCCTCTTTCTTGCTGCCCTTGCCTAGACAACAACTGCGCTTGTCGTTCCTGCAGCTTCACACCTCCCCCTCACAGTTGCCCCCACACCTTTGCTGTCCGCACGGGTTTTGGCCCTCCCCTCCTTTTCCACCTCTCTGGAGGACCAAACCCTCGCCGATCACCTCCACTATCCCGAGATTCACCGTTGTTTGAGCGTTCGTGTTGTGTTTGTTGCTATTTCTGTTTCCGTTTGTGAGATTGTATTTCCCTATTTTGGATTCCCCAATAATATTTAATTTTCTTATTATTATACGGGTGAACTCCGATATCATTTAGTATCCGAGCTAGCATAATTACGGTCCTATCCTATGATTTTTACCATCCATAAATACCCAACCCTATATTCACACAAAAAAAAAACATTTTCTTTGTTGATTTTTCATACCGGTCACTTAAAAATTTTATTTTCCACCATATGTTATCCTTATACACCCTCTTCTACCTACCCAACACAAACCCCAATCACGTCATCGAAGAGATAATTGCCTCTTCAGGAGGAAATGCTACAATGTCGTTTATAAGAAATTTATAAAGAGATGTCTGAGAATTTTCTATAGAGGATGTACGGCGGGAAATCCTCCAACTACAATGGAGGTTTATTGCATTTAAGAGGAGTCAATATGGAAGGGTCACTCGTAGTCACAACAATGACTTGTCAGATCGAAAGAACATAGTGAATCACTTCCACCATACATATTTCAGAGATGAAGAGCCACTACCCGGATGACTTGACATGAAATATTAGAGAACCTTGGATTTTGAAGTAAAAGTGAATTTGCCTTATTTTTTATGGCCACACGATCCAAAGTAGTTCCTCGAGTGACGGGACAGTGGAACATGTCTTTGAGTACCAAGGCGTCCTACCAGAGAGAATGGTGAAACTAGCTGCCATTAAGTTATGGAAGAGTGCATCTCGGTGGTGACAGGACTTGAAGATTCTTCTACAGCGAGAAGAGAAAAGTAAAATTGCATCCTAGCCTAAGATGAAACAAGAGATACGTGCCAATACCTACCAGTTCATTACACACATGACATGTTCTCAGGGCAACATCACCGGGTGATTGCCACTTCTTTTAGGAAAAGTTTAATCCCAGGATGAAGCAACAAAAGTACACTCAGCGAAATATCCAAGCCGACTATGCTTGAGGAGACATTAGTTTAGAGTGGAGAATAGTTGGAAGCAATTCACAGTCCTAAATTCGTCCCAGTTAGGAAGTGTTTGAAATATCATGGGTTTGGGCAGATTGAATCAGATTGCCCAATTCAGAGAATAATCTTTTTCACTGATCAAGGAGCAGTTGAATGTGCAATGACAACATAGACAATGAAGAATACGAGGATACAACTGAGAAATGCCACCTTTCAACTAATGAGGGAGAAAAACACATTGTTCAAGTTGAACCCATAAGAGTGACTCCTACAAAATAAAATTAGTAGTCCAAGACGGTCTTAAGTTCAAAGGGCCGACATCAGACATGTCAAAACCAAATAAGAGAATTTTATACTTTTCATATATATGAACTACTTTTTTAGTTGCCTTTACTGAGAGATGTACAACATGTTAGAGATGAGATTTTTTTGCGTCACTTTTGGAAGATTATATGGAGTCATTTGAGTATTCAAATCAATTCAATTGTGTACCCACTAACAGATGATCAGACACGTTAGATGAACCAAAATGTTGGAAACTATCGTAAGATCTTTTTGGGAAAGAAAATTCTACAACGGGATCAATGTTCAACCAGAGAAAAATAAGTAGCCTCTCTGGTTAGCGAGAATTGCCTAGCTTGCCATAAATTTCATAACAGAGTTGATTCCTTTTTACATACTTTATCTGATACATTCAAGCGAGTACGAGTGGAAGAAGCCAATTATATATTTAATGGCTCAAGGCTTGATCCGTGAGGATACCTATCCACTTAAAGTTCCAATTTTGGTTGTGCCAAAAGATAATTAGCACTTGTTCTATCAGGATGTGCTTTGGAATTTAACAACAACATGAATTATCTGGAGATTAAAACATCTCTGCCAACTTCAACGTGGTCGACCGGACGCCA